TACAAATGTATTTTAAAATGAAAGTCAAGTAGTGAAATAAAGTACCATTATTATTGGATAAAATGGCTTTTGAAATCATTTGCTTATTGAAGAAAAGCTTTTAAAAAAATTAGACATTTCAATAATTTCAGGTAGCATTATAATTTCAGAAATGGTACTTTTTAACAAAAGGGGCCCACCAGTGGCCGAGTAGTAAATTCGCTGAATACTGGTAGTTCAGTCCAAGGTTCGAATCCGGCAAACGGGCTGGCTGCATGGTAGTTTTCATGGTTTTCCCCATGTGTAACGTGTATACAAGCCAGTTTCTCTTAGAAAGTCCTCCATAAAGGCATCACTCCTCTTAGACAGCTGTCCCTCGTGGCTTTGCCGTAAGCACATAAACCAAACCAAATTTTTAAACAAAAATAGCTTCTGTGTTTTAATGACATAAAATGTCATTGAAGGTTTAAACTACTTGGGCAATCCTATAAGAAGACTGATGAAAGATGTGATAATAGTACCATCTACTAATAGTATTTCGAAAATGACAGTTTCTCTTATTTTACAAGGTAACCAAAAAAGTTAGTCGGAAAGAAAAACAGTCAAAAAAAGGACAGTCGGAAAGAAAAACAAATAATAATCATCACTAATCCTCAAAGTAATCACCATCGGTATCCAGTGCCTTTTGCCAATGAGTGGCTAGCTATATGATGCCATTGCAGTAAAACTCGGGAATCTTGGATGCAAAGAAGTCCAAGAGGACTTTTTTGTGGTCTGGTCGATTGTTGAAGGATTTCCCACGAAGATGGTTGTCCAGGGAATGGAAAAGCTGGTAGTCTGTTGGCACGTGGTCTGAGGAGTACTGTAATGGGGTAGTGTCTCTCAGCCCTGTGGCTCGATGATGTCTCTGACCTTCCGAGACACATGAGGCCTTGCATTGTCGTGAAGGAGGAGTACACCCTTACAATTGACCAATGCTGTCTCTTTATGCATCAGTGCCTGATGCATACGTTCTAATTGCTGCAAGTACAGGACTGCTGTAATGTTTTGGTGCACTGGCAGGAGCTCATAGTGCACCACTTGGCGACTAGTCCACCAGATATAGAGCATGATCTTGCGTGGGTGGAGAGATAGTCTCGCAGTGTGTGGCACAAGGTCCCTTGGTGACCACCAATGTCTGGAACATCTGGATGTGTCATACTGGACCCACTTTTAATCGCTGGTGTGTACTCAATCAAATATGGATACACTGTGGTGCCGAGTAAGCAGTGACAAATAGGCAGCAGTACACTGTTGCTTGTCTGCATCAAACAGTCAGTGGGATACCCCACTTGCTCAGCTTGTGCGGTGCAAATGGAGTCTGATCTGATCATTTCATCAGGCTACTGTCACTCTGTATGGTTGCTCTCAGGCCTCATCGTCCAGTGCTTGTTGCCAACCGCTGTGTGGTGTATCACTAAGAGACATAGTCCCTGACTTGAACTTCCAAAACCATTGCCTAGCGGTTTGTTCATTAATGACATCATCCCCAAAGGCCTGGCAAATTCAGAGACTTGATTCTGCTGCTGACTGGCCCATTTTAAATCATACAGCAAAGAACTCCAAACGAGCGCTTTTGATGCGTCTATTTCAATCAGTCGCTGTATGAGTTATGTTTGAATTACCGATGCAATGCGATTTTTATACTCTTGGTCAATGTCCGGGCCTCTCGTCCTAACCACTTCATCACCAGGTTTGGCGATTGTTTTTATGTTGGGGTTCACTCTTCTAATGTCATATCAGAAACAGCGAGAACTGTTTTGTTTACCTTGTATATAGACTGCCTCCCCCTTTTTATTTTGTGTGCAGTGTACACTGCCTAAAAAAAAAAAAAAAAAAAAAAAAAGGACAGTGCTATATCTCCCGTTCTACTGGGGCGATTCACGAAATTCAAATTGCGTTCTTCATGTCTCGAAAGCGCGACTTAGGATATATATTAGATTTATATATAGCACTATTCTAACATAGGTATTTTGACACAAAATCGGACTTTTTCTGAAATAACATACCAATTTTTTTTTACATATTTCGATTCTACGACTCAAATTATGCCAGAATACCAAGTTTTGTAAAAATCGTACGAGTAGTTTTTGAAATATTAGCGCTCAAAATTTTAGCTCCTCAATGTTAATTGAATTTGGCAAATATTTATTTATATCACTTTTTTTATTAAACTTTTTCTATTTTTTCTCTCACATTTCGAAATTTAGGTTTATTCCAAATAAAATTTACCCATTTTTTGTGTTTTGTTTTTTAAATTTCTATTTTTAAATAATTTTTATAAATTTTTCGAAAAAAATTTTGAATTATAACCTATAAAATTTTTATGATCATCTTAAAGTAGGTATATTTTTAAGCATATCTGCAAAAAATTAGACTTTTTTATTCAAAATTTTCTAAGATATACACAAATTTACATATTTTAGCGTTTTGAAATTTGACATCTTTTTTTTTGAGCGATAATAACGCCAAATGTGGTCTATGGTTTTTTGTTACACTGTATTGCCACAGCTATTTTTAACCTTAAATTTCAAGTAAAATTTTACGGAGAATTAATTATATGACATTTTTTCCCTCAATGATGCGTAATAAATATTTATTAATACTATATAAAAAGCTATTTTTTTAAATTAATTTTTTAATACTTTTTTTAATTTCTATCTTTTTTTTTTTTTTAAATAAAAGTAAATTTTTGTAAGAGTAAATTTTTACCTTCGGGCGCGTTTTATCGTCTGCTACTTTACTTTAACTTCGCTTAAATTGAATTGTCTAAAACTGAGAATTTTCGTTTGATGTTTATTTGAATTTAATGACATTTTTAATTTTATATTAATCAAGATTGCACATGATATTATTTATTTGCACTTCAATTCTTAACGTCAGTTCTAGTAGAAGTTACAAATCAATTATATTTAATTAAGGGATTGGATTGGATTGGATTTGGATTGGATTATTTAATTATGGCAAAGCACACGAGAGCTATCTGCCTAAAGGGAGGGATGCCTTCATGGAGGACATTCTAAGGGAAACTGGCTCGTATACACGTTACACATCGGGAAAACCACGAAAACCCCATGCAACCAGCCCGTTCGCGGGATTCGAACTTCGGACCGAACTACCAGTGATCAGCGTCTTTACCGCTCGGCCGTTTGTGGGCCTTTATGAAATGGAAGGCGATAAACTTTATTTAAAATGATTGTCAGAAATACCAAAATGTTTCGAAAAGTTGGATACTTTTTAATATACTTTCAGAATGCTTAAAGAAAAAGAGAAAGAAAAATAAATTTTTTTCGTAAAATTTAGTATTTGTATTTTTTTTAATTTAAAACTTTTCAATGTTATGATATTTGATTCTTGCGATTTCAAAAATAAAATATTTGACTAAAATATGAATAACATTTTAAGAAACCAAATGTAGGATAAAATTGTGTAAAGCAATGGGCACAATGATAAAACTGTTTAAAGCAGTGTATGCAAGTCATCCTAAGTTAAAATGTCGGTTATACATCTCTCTTATTTATATATATCTTTTCTGAACGGAACATTGAAAGGCGTGTAAAACTGTGCTTTACTGTATTTCTTTTTTAATATAGTATGCAGTTTTCAAACTCATCGTAGTCTGGGTTACAAAGTATTCTTCCGAAAGAAACGCAGTTCAAATAAATAAAATCAAATTCTGGAAAATTGATATTAATAAATATATTTAAAATGCTCAGTTCGAAGGAATAAATAGAAAATTTTAAAACAATTATCTGAAGAGACAATGCAACACAAACAATTAAAATAAAAGTATAAAAATTTAAAAATTACCTAAAATAATAACTATGACGAAAAAATATATATAAAGAAAACTATTTGAAAAAAAAAAAAATAAACGCTGCACTGCACCTTTATTTACGCAGTTCGAATAGGTAAATAGAAATTTTTAAAACAGTTATTCGAAAAAAAAAAAAAAAAAAGGTGCAACTTAAACAATTAAAATGAAATTCGAAAAAGAAAAAAATTACTTAAAATAATAAGTTATAATTAAAAATATAATATAAAGAATATTATTTGGAAAAAAGGAACGATGGTGACTTTTTTTCCTCTCACGGGAAAGGAAACTAGGTTGCCATATATTAAGAAGTTCGCCAAGTGAACTATTCTTGGCGCAAACTGACAAAAAAGTGCCAACATAAATTTGTGAATTTCTCCGTAAATTTCGCTCCAAATTTTACAAAATTTCATATTTAGGCGTAATTTGAGTCGTAGAATCGAAATATGTAAAAAAATTGGTATGTTATTTCAGAAAAAGTCCGATTTTGTGTCAAAATACCCATGTTAGAATAGTGTTATATATAAATCTAATATATATCCTAAGTCGCGCTTTCGAGACATGAAGAACGCAATTTGAATTTTGTCAAATGGCTCAGTAGATCGGGAGATATAGGACTGTCCCATTTTTTTTTTTTTTTTGAGCAGTGTGCATATGTGCCATTTTATATTTAAAAAATAAAAAGGCACTGGATACCGATATAAATGCATTTATGCCATTTTTTTTTTAAATTTCAATGCAATGGATTTCAGAAAGTATTTAGTTTCAATAATACCTTTATCTACAAGCTTTGAAATTATTTGATGATTTAAAGGTGTTTTCTGATTATCCAACTCCCCACCAAAAGTCTTGCCAGTGAGCTTGTTACAGATTTACCAAGCCAATGTGCAAAATACAACAGCCCTTTTCAAAATGATGGTGCAGTAAGAGCTCTGTACAAAAGTGGTCAATCAATAAAATTTAAAATGCAAGTTAATTGGTAATAAAAAACTTAATCGTTTTAGAGAAATTCTTCTTTTATGGGCTGTGATTCTCCCTATGTATACAGAGATCTGAATTTGCTTAAAAAACATGAAGAAATTGAACAGAGCCAAAACCAGCTTTGTAATCAGAAAGTACTGATTTAAATTTTGAGTTCAAACTATAAGTAATAAAAATTTCTTTTTAGTGTTATATTTGGTCCTGAAAAAATGGTCATAATTCCTCCATGTCATTACTGTATCATTTGTAACCCCGTTGTTCGTGATGAGCAGAATGCTCTGGTGTTTGACAGTACAGGGCAAGTCAAGCTCCGACATGCTGATCTTGAAGTGCGCTTGGAGCAAGATCCATTTCCATTATATCCTGGGGAACACATGCATACTGTAAGTAGAATCTAATGTCATAGTTGTAATTTATTTCATGAAAATTTAAAAGACCTATAATTCATTTGCAAAACTTTTTTATTTGTGAATAGAAAATCTGTTAATTAGCATGTAAGATTCTAACCTGTGTACTTTTAAGTTATAGTTAAAGTTGAAAAATCTTAAGAACTGGTAAGCGAATAATCGCTTGAGTTTGTGAGACAGAAAATGAAATTTGGGAAGGGTTAAATACCCTTTATTATTCCAAATTAATTTCACAGAACTCCATCTTGGAGTTTTACCATAAAGCTTCCACTCGGGCTTGAACTTACGAACTAAGAACTAAAACTTAACTAATCTTAACTAAAAAGATATAGCCAAAGCTATCAAGATTCTAACAGAGTTGTCCCCTTAACGATAAATAACGGCGAAGCTATCAAGGGCCTAAAGTACGGCCGAGCGTAATAATAGCTCAAGAGAGAGTAGCCTAAAACGGCAAATGTGCACTAGTCAGAATCACTGGTTCTCTTTCAAGAAGTCAGTAGAACTTCACAGTTAAATACTTCTCCTCATTTGCATTCAAACGCAATTCTAAAACTACGTTCTGGCCGTAAGTTGTGAGCTTGAAATTAAGATAGGATAGGAAAGTAACTTTAACTGAAAATTTAACTGCTAGATAAATTAACATAATCTTTACAACGTTCCCGACCAGATTTTAAATAATTGAAAAACAAGGTCTACAAACGACCTTGTTTAAGATTTTTTGTTAGTCAAAAGTTTTTTGTTAGTTTAAGATTTTTTGTTAGTTTATCATTAGTGTTAGTTTAAGATTTTTTGTTAGTCTTGTTAAGTCAAAAATCTTTCTAAAGTTAATGTAACAATTCTAACTTTTTGCATTAACTAGTTTTTGCTTTGAACTTTTGTGTTTAGGGCCAACTTTATAGCAAATCTAAAGTTAGACTAAAACTAGAAATTTGACAAAATTTGCAAATTTTCAATTGGAATAAATAACCATCTGCTTCTTCTTAAGTTTAATTCCACTATTTATTCTTGGTTCTTCTAATTTATCTGGAAGGAAAGATTATTAGTACTTTCTTTTACACAAAATTCCATCATCATTACAATTACTCCTTTCCATTTGACCTTCACACAACTTTCATTCATACTTGAACTTCTCTTCCCCCAATGCTCGCCCAGAAATTGTTCTGAATGTATTTAGAGTACACATGTTGTGTTACCACAGACAAAAACTACCACTAACCATCGTCTAACATTTGTTAAATTTGACTTATGAGGCGTATTCGGAAACTAAGTACCGTTTTGAAAAAAAAAAGAAAAAAAAATAGTAAAACAATTTTTTCGAATCCAATTTTATTTTTACATGAAAATACATGTCTTAAACTGTTTTTCAACATAGTTTCCACCAATGATCAAACACTTGTCATAGCGGGTGACCAGTTTTTGTATACCATCGTCAAAGAAACTTCCCGCCAGTTTCGATAACCATGATTGCACAGCATTTTTCGTGTCATCGTCAGATCCAAAGCGCTTGCCACCAAGCTCGCGCTTCATGGGCAGGAACAAGTGATAGTCGGACGGTGCCAAGTCTGGGCTGTACGGCGGGTTACCGAACTGCTCCCAATGAAACTGTCGAATTAACGATTGAGTGACACCAGCAGTATGGGGCCGAGCATTGTCATGGAGCAACACAATTCCTTTACTGAGCATTCCTCTTCGTTTGTTTTGAATGGCACACCTTAGTTTTGCTAAAGTCTCACAATATCGTGCCGCATTAATGGTTTCACCTCTGGGAAGAAATTCAGTAAGCAAAACGCCTTTCCTATCCCAGAAGACAGTGCACATGATTTTTTGTGATGACATTGTCACTTTGAACTTTTGTTTTTTCAGAGAATGAGTGTGTCTCCACTCCATCGATTGTTGTTTCGATTCTGGTGTGAAATGACACACCCAAGTTTCATCACCTGTCACAATTTGGTTTAAAAGTTTTTCTCCCTCATCACTGTACCACGTGAGAAATGTCAGGGCACTACCAAGTCGCTTTTGTTTTGTGAACATCAGTGAGCATTTTTGGAACCTATCGGGAACACAGTTTGCAATAATTCAAGTGGTCAGACACAATTTCGAACAAAACAGTACATGAAATTTGTGGAAATGCCTCTGAAAGAGTTGTCATTGTGAAGCGTCTCTTCTCATGAATTGCTTCATCAACTTTCCTTACCAAATCATCGGTGACAACAGAAGGCCGACCACTCCGAGCCTCGGCGTGGACATTTGTTCGACCTGCATTAAACATTCTTACCCACTTTCTCACCATTCCATCACTTATCACGTATTCACCGTAAACTTCTGTCACTTGACGATAAATTTCGGCCGGTTTAACATTCCTCGCGCTCAAAAATTTAATCACAGTCAGCGGGAGAACTAATTGTCTTAAACATTTTGAATATGCACAGGAAAACTGAAAACACAACATAGAGCAACCAAAATGGCGACAATTGAAAGTCAGTGAACAAGAAAGACTAGTGCGCATGCGCGGGATGCCTACCACAGCGCTGCGACGGTGCTAGAATGAAACGGTACTTAGTTTCCGAATACGCTACATACTAAACCTCAAAAGACTCCCTATACACAAACACTTTCGTAATGTACTAAGCAAGAGCTTAAATTTAACTTTAGAGTGTTAGCTGGAGAGCCTAACATTAAACACACATATACTAAAATATTCGCTTGTTTCATAAATTCACTTGCACTTTGTCCAAAATTTATCTTTTTTTACAAGTTTAAACTTAAGACACTTTAACACAGACATTTAACATTTCTACTCTGAACATAGAAATTTTCAGATATTTATGCATCGCATTTTAAATTCACTTTACATCAAAAGTCTTAGTTGCTTAGTTCCAATTTACCATCTTTTCATCAAATCTTAACCTTAAGTTAACAAATTTCACTATTCAACGAAGTCTTTCCGACTAAAAGATATTCACAATTGAATTCTCGCAACTTGCGAGTTCTTAACAAAAATATTTACTACTAGATTCTTGTCAAATTGCGAACACAAAAATATGTTTGTTTAAAATCTATTTACAAATAAGTTTTCGCTATCTGCAAATTAAAAATTTTCTTCTTTCAACAATATTCATCAACTTACAACTACATGACATAACTTGAATTTTTCAATGCAAAATAAGCAAACAAGGAAATTTTCACTTATCTTTTCTCTTTCTGTATTCCTCCATCCTGGTGAAACAGAATTGCTCAAGCGTTGGGTATTTTAGTACTTCCAGCCTTCTTCTCCCTCTTCGATGATCCGTGCCATTTCTGTCATTCATTTTCCTCTTTGTCGACAAACGTAGGGTTTTTACGGGAAGGCTGTGGGTTTTGAAACTGAAGTTTCCTCTTGAGTTTTGACGAGGCCGCTCATCTTTTGAGGTCTTTCCACTTGCATTTTGACCTTCTTACTTGTTGGTCTGGCACGGCTGTATCGGCTGGTCTTTTAGTCTTCATCGTTCTCCCATCTGGACCTTCTTGGGCCTTCCTAGTGGTCGTTGCCGTGGGAAAACGTAGCTTGCATTTCCTTGCTTCTGCACTTCGTTGAATTTGTTGTTTCACTGGAACCTCCTTAGCTGGCCTTGTCCTCTTCGTCAACGATACTGGTGTTTTTCATGAATTCTCTGTTTTGGCATGTTCATCCGTAGGCTTTATTTTCCTCCATTTCGCTGAGCCTGGACCCTTTCCTGGTCAAATCTGCTTGGCTGGTGATTGTTCTGGTTTCACTGTCTGCTTCCTTTTTGGTGTTGGGGGAACTCCAGCTCGTCTTCTGACTTGGCAGAATTCTTTCTTCACTTCCAGGATCCTGTAATAAATCCTGTAAAACTTGAAAATCATTACGACTAGAATAAGGTTTCATCTGATCAATATTTGCAACAACATGCTGGCCATTTTTGGCCTTCAAATAAAAAGTGGCTTCTTTTATTCTCCCCACTATATAAAGTCCTTCAAACTTGGCAACCCTGTTTTCGGGTGCAGATGATAATGAATGTTTTACTTTCAATGCTTTCTTCCCCATTGTATATTCCAGGTTCCCTTCTATTTCTATTGTAATATATCTTCTGTTTCTGCCTTGCTACATCCGAGTTTTTAATTGATTCATTGATAACTCTTTGTATGTTTTTTAACTTTAATTCTTCTTGCCTTTGCTATACAAAGAACAGCTTGTCTAAAGGCAGAATTTTCCTTCCTAGAACTTTCCTAGAATTTTCCTTACTCTGCGGGGATCTTTTGTGTAGTATCGTGCTTTGCTGTTCTGAAGGCAAAACCTAACTCATTGACACAGCTGTCCCAGCAGTCATGGTAATTCTTAACATATCCCCTAATAATTTTTACAATATTCTTATTTACGTGTTCCGCAATATTTGATTGTGGTCTATATGGTACCATTTTTAGAAGGCGCATGCCAAGTCCGGTGCACAGTTTTTAAAATAAAATTTGTGTGCCATTAACTGATATTACTTTTAGTGAGGCCCTATATTTTAAAATATACTTATTTAAAAATGAATCTGCAACTATTTTTGCTGAAGCTCATTTAAGAGGGACTATTTCTATCCATTTTGAAAAATGATCAACTATTGTTAATAAATATCTATTTTTGTTCTAGGGTAGAATCCGAGCAAATATATGCCAGCCATTTCATTTGGGAAAGTGGTCTTTATGTTTTCTAAATACCCAGCTGGGCTGTAATTAACATCATTTATTAATTGCCACAAATGGCACGGCCTGACATATGCCGTAACTACCCAATGTAACTGTGGAAAATAAACCGCTTTGCGAACCCTCTGTACGATTTTTCGAATTCCAAGATGTCCAGTTATCAGGAAGTCATGGAGTTCTTCTAAAATATTACAATGTAGACTCGCTGGGATCACTGGCTGGTATTCCTGATTCTCATTTGTTAATTTCATGTAAAATAGAAGGTTATCAATTATTTCATAATACACCGC